GGGGTCGCGACCCACAGGTTGAGAACCGCTGATTTAGACCTTCTTCCCACTCTACCTTCCAGTGAGCTCAGAGCCCCTCCCATCCCCCAGGCCAGTTCTGTGCTGTCTGCTCCTCTTTCTCTTGTCTGCAGACATCCCAGTGGCTCTCCTGGCTTAACAACCACCCATGTCTATTTCCAGCCCTGACCCCTCCCTTGAATCCCAAACCTGGGCACCTCAGCACCTACCAGGCACCTCACATTCAACCCATCAAAACAAACCCACCACCTGGCCTCAAACCGGCTTCTCCTCTGTCCCGTGGCTCAGTGAATGGCCTCCTCCTCCACCCAGTTGCTGCCCTGTGCCTCAGCCCCAGACCCAAGTGGTCAGTCGTGTGTCCAGCTGCCTACCTGACATCTCCACATGCATGGTCAATGGGCATCTTCAATGCGCATGTCAGAACTGGACTCCCCACCCCCAAGCTGCTCCTCCCAGTCTGCCCAGCTCAGCAAATGGCAGCTGTATCCTTCCAGCTTCTCGGAGCAAACCCCTGGAGTCATCGCTGGGTCCTCTTTCTCCCTCCCGCCCTACACACCCATCCGTCCACAGTTCCTCTTCGCTCCACTTCTGGCAGATATCTACACGCACTGAAATATTTATGGTGAAATGACAAGATGTTTTGGATTAGGTTCAAAATAATCCCGGGGCAGAGGAGTGGAGCGTGCAAAGGGACAGAGACGGAGCAAGGCTAATCCACACGCTGAGATGGTTGCAGCTGAGTGACGAGTACATGCATATGATGGAGAGCACAGTGCTATTCTCTCCACTTTTGATTTCCCACAATAAAATAGTGTTCGTATGTGTCTGTTACGCACACTCACATGCATGTATGCATATGGGGAGAAAGAGGAGAGACAGTCCACGGAAGAGTAGGGGAGAAAAAGAGAGGGTAGGAGAGAGGAGGGGAGGGGAGGGTTAGGTAGAGGAGGGGAGACCAAAGAGAACTCCTCACAGCCTTCTAGGTCATCATCTCCTCTCGCCTCCCAGCTGGTATTCCCTCCTCCTCCTTTTCCCATTTACAGTCTATTTTCAACACCGCCGCCAGAGTGATCCTGATAAAACATGTCAGCCCGTGTCACTCCTCTGTGACTTCCATCTCACACAGAGGAAGAACCTGCGTCTCCCAGGAGCCTTCCACCGGAGTCTGCCCTCTGAGAGACAGTCTGTGCCACCTCTCTGAGCTTCTGCTTCTCCCCCTCTCCTCACTCCAGCCGTCCTGGTTGCCTGGCTCTTCCTCATGCAAGCCTAACCTGCACCTCGGGGCCTTTGCACTTCCTCTTCCTGTCCTGCAGGCTCTAGCCTCGATTTCTGCATGGTTCTCACCTCCTTCCGGTCTTGGCTTAAATACTCTGAGGACTTCCCCAACCACATAATCTATAATAATAAAAGGCTAATATGCAAACAGACCAAACGGCAGAATGACCAGTCGCTATGATGCACACTGACCACCAGGGGGAAGACACTCAACGCAGGAGCTGCCCTCTGGTGGTCACTGTGCTCCCACGGGGGAGCACCGCTCAGCCAGAAGCCAGACTCACAGCTGGTGAGCGAAGCAGCGGTGGCAGGAGACTCTCCCTCCTCTGCAGTAGTGCTAAGGATGTCTGACTGAGCGGGCCTAAGCCGGCATTCGGACATCCCCAAGGGCTCCTGAACTGTGAGAGGGCGCAGGCCGGGCTGAGGGACTCCCCCTGAGTGCATGAATTTCGTGCACCAGGCCTCTAGTAATCTATAATACCCCCAGAACCTATTTTTCACATATCTATTTTTTCCTGTGTTGTGTATCATTCCCTAGAATACTGTATATCTTATTTCATTTACTGTCTCTCTCCACCCTTTAGAAGGTCAGCTCCACTAGCACAGATGTTTCTATTTTGT